AACCATAAGGAGTGTTACCAGAAAATACCAAATCTGAATAATGTAATCATATATTGCTCTTTTAATGAAACGAAAATTCTGACGCAACAACAGAGCAAAAAATTTCAATAAAAAAAAAAAGTTGGCATGTAATTTCCTATGTAATTTCGTTCTCTCAGGAACATGCTTCCTAACTTTAAAAATGTTGCACATCAAATAAGAAGAGGTTACGTAGGAAATTACATAGGAAATTACATAGGAAATTACAAAGGCACCTACTTTTAAGGGATTAGGGTCCAGGATTCTCTGATTAGTTTCTTTGCACTTGAGGAGAACCATGGATGATAAGTGAAGTCAACCTTAAATATCTGCAATCACAGGAACCTCATCAGCAAACTTGGAACATTTTGATTGTCGAAGACCGAAGGGACTGAAACTTCCTAATGAAATGCCAATACAAAACAGAAGGTCTAAATGCCAAAAGTAAATCTTCTGGTTTTTCATGAGCAGCCATAATTAACCACTTGGATATTAATCTGAATTTTTATAGACGAATTAAAGGAACGACTTTAATGTTAAAAGGGCTTTTTCATTCTTTGTTTTTGTGATATAAGTTAAGAATATAATTATTATATTTTTTATATTAATTGATATTAAAAATAAAAATTCATATTTATTTAATTAATTATTTAATTAAAATTATCTATATAATATTAATGATGAAATTAATATTAATTTTTATATTTTTTAACATTAGTTAATATAAAAATGTATAATAATTATAATCTTAATCTATATCATTTTAAAAGCATAAATTAAAAAAACCTCATACTTCCTTATCCAAAACGGAAGAAGGAAAAATCAAAATGAAATGTGACTTAGAGGTGTTTAAATTTTGATTATGAATGCTTATAATCAATTTTAGTGATATTTATGTTAAATTTTATTTACTTTTAACAGAATTTAGAAGATGAGATTAAATTATTAATGCATCAAAAAAAATTAATTTTAGTTTTTAAGAATTATTTACGTTATGCTAAAAATTTGAAATCATCTTTTATTATTCTTGGTGCCTCTAGTGATGTAACCAAAAAGAATTTTCAGATTTTTAGAATTTTCAGATTTTTTCAATTTTTACAAATGTAAAGGAGTATAAGAACTCGTTTATAATTTGTACTTTTTATTTTGTTTTTACTGATTTGCAATTTTGCATGTTAATGTGTTTTATGGTTATGCTTTCTATTTGATATTAAAATATTTTTACATTATCTTATATATTTAATAATGTTAAAAACCGATCAATCCGATTAAACCATATCGATTCGATTTAAGTTGGATTGGTTTGGTTATCATATTATAATAAATTGAATTGATTTAAAAATTTTATTAACTGATTAAATTAAATTAATTTAAAAAATATTAAAATCCGAACCAAACCACACCATGAACACCCCTATAAACACTAAACCCTAATACATTAAACATTAACGCTAACACTATAAATACAAAATCCAAAAAAATATAAACTCTAACCCCCTAAACATTAAATGCCTAAAAAACTAAATATTGCACTATAATTAGTGAACCCTAAAATAAAAAATGATTATAATTATTATTTGCTCTAATAGATTTAAATATTTATGTTATGTTTTAGAGTTTTAAATGTTGCAATCTTAATTTAAAGACTTAAAAAATGTAAATCTGTTATTTATTTTTTTGGTATGATAAGTCTTTTACTTTAAGGGCTAAACTATTAATATATCATTTGAGTGTTTTATTTTATAATTTAAATTATATT